AAAAAAAAAAAAAAAAAAAAAAAAAAGTTTATTTATAAAATACTGACAAGTTTGACAGGCCATGGGACATCTCGTAGTATATATTTCAAATCAATTTCGTTCTTACCTTTCATTTAAAAAATAAACCCGCTAACAAGCTATATGACATATTGATATATATATTTTTTCTTACAGATAGAGACACCTGCCACAATGAATACTCTCCCCATAATTTATTATATCTTTTAAATCAAAAAATAAAGATTTGTGTTGGTTTTTGTTTTTGGAGTCTATGTGTGTAAAGAAAGGTAACACGCTTGAATGCTTTTGGTTATTCTTACGGAAACAAAGAGAAGGGGGTGGTCCCAAGAGAGGGCATGTGTGCTCTGGGTGGTGGGCAGGTTTGCCACTGGGCAGGACCATGCAGAGGCACTCGGATGGGGCGACTGCTGCTAGGGTTGGGGCGGGGGGGAGGTCGCCCCCGTTCCTGTCCTCTGGCCCCTCACGCCATGGGCACCATGGGAAGGTGAGGGGAGCCCCTGCCCCGAGTGGGCTCTGGGAGGCTCTGGCACCTTTAAAAGCTCTGCCCAGGGAGGTGTGGGCAGAGACAGAAGGCCTCGAGCCAGCGGTGCTCTGGGCGGGGGCAGCCAGAAGTGTCCTTGTTCCTTCTGAGTCACGGCAGTGTCAGGTGAGGGGACGAGACAGGCAGCCTGGGTGTGCAAGCTCCCCGGGGCCCTGGGAGAAAGGTGCTTCTGGAACCGGAGCCGCTTTCTGGTTCGTCTTGGCAGCCTGGGTGCTGAACGGCTGTGCACGCTGGGGGCGTGGCCGCGAGGGGGAAGGGCGGCGCTGGGGGGCCAAGCGCAGGTTGCCGGGTGGACCCCAGGTTTCCCCAGGGGCACGGTGAGGCAGAGCCAAGGACACAGAGGTGTCCTGCTGTGAACCTGCTGCAGGTGATCACGCAGACAGGGGCCCCGGCGTCATCGGCCCAGGGAAGTTCCCTGTTACCCACGGGCAGTGCCCAGCACACCGTTCTCATGCGGCCGGGGGTCTGGCCGGGGGGGGGTGGAGAGCCTCCACTGCCCCAGCAGATATGTAAACGAGGGCAGAGATGTCCTCTAAGAACTCTAGAGCTCCACGGTGGGAGACCTGGGCTTCCCGATGTGGGTGGGGCGGTGGGGCAACATTTTGGGTGGGTGGATGTGGACTGAGGGCTTGGACGTTCACCTTGGGCCGTGCCTGCCTTCCGGCTTGCGCAGTGTCCTCGCCCCCTGAGACAACCGATCCCGGCTGCCTTCGGGGGCAGGGACCCCGGCTGCCCGGGCCTCACGGGGCACAGACAGCTTCGGCCATCAGAAGGAATCGCAAGCCTCTTTGCGAACACACACCTGGATGTGTGTGTGTGCGTGTGTGTGCGTGAGCCCAGGCGTGCACGGGCACCTTGCTGAGTGTGCATGGGTGTGTCAGCGTGGGCGTGAAGGAGCGTGTGGGGAGGGGAGGGTGCACATCTCAGTGCCCCAGGCGATCCATGAAAGGCAAAGGAAATGTGGCCTCGTGTGCAGTACACACATGAGCGTGCACACACACACACACACACAGGGCTTCACTCGTCCCACCTCCCCCCACCCCACACACACACCCAGAGCCCCCCCTGCGCTGGGCTCAATTCATTCCCCAATGCAAACTGGGAACTTCCATAAATGGCTAAACACACAGCAGATAAGGAAAAGGATGAGGTTGTTAAAAAAAGATGAGACGAAAAAGGAGGACGAAGCGGGAGATCACACGCCAGCCAATGTGCTACCATGGAGACATGAGCTGTGTGTACAGGGCAGAGCTCGGGCCTGTGTCCTCACAGCCCGGGCCAGTGAACTTCCCTCCCCAGAGCCCCCTCAGCTGGTGTCGGCCTGTGGGGCTGGGTGCAGACCCTCGCTTTCCTTGGCTTGCTCCCCAAATCCCCCTCTCAGGCCTCCCCTAACCGTTCCCCTCAGCCCCGAGATGGGGCCTGTGTGTGGCACCCCCAGAGAGCCCTGTCCCACGGAGGGCCCCACGCGGAACTGAACAGGTCCCTGCAGGACCCTCTCCTCTCCCGGAGGCAGCCGTCCACCCAGACCCGCGGCGCTGGGCCTGCCGGGGGCACTTGGGGAATGCGACCCTCAATCCCTTCATCTGGGGGCTGAAGGGGAAGGTTCAGGCCCCTGCAAGTGGCCTTTTTAAAGAACATTCCTTGGAGCACATTGTGTGTAAAAGCTTTGCTTCCCGTCAGCTATTCTGGTCCATGGTCCCATCTGACCTGCTCGTCTGTCAGCCTGGCTGCGCATCTCAGTTTGGACAGGGCCCCTCCTTGCTCCGAGCCCTGGCGCGCGCGAGGCTGAGCAGAGCCTGGAACACATGACTCTGGGGGGTTGGGTCTTTGACTCTTTGTAAACCGGGTGCTGGGCTGACCAGGCAAATTCTGGGAGCTCTGGTTTCTAGACCAGGGGCTTGGCCCACCCCTCTGGGCTTCTGTACCCCTGTGCTTGGCGGGGTGGGGGGGGGATGTGTTTTAGATGTGGATCGCTCTGGGGTGAGAGCGAGAGGGACCACACATCCCGTGTGTGGAGTGAGTGTCCCGTTTGGCTAGGACCCACAGGGATTTGTCTTGGAGAGGATCTCTAGACCCTTCTCCCTGCCAAGTGCATGGGGGGACCTGTGTGTGTGTCTCAGGAGGAAGGGATCTATCTAGGGACAGGGGTGTGTCTGCCTAGATGGCCATTCCTCACCCTGCCTAGCTCCCCAGTCCTGTGCCTGCCGAACTTCCTTGTCTAAGAAGCTTCCTTTCAGGAGGGAAGAAAGAGAGAAGTCAAGCTTCTTTCTTAACGTTCTTCATTTCCTGCCTTAGGGCCCAGTTATCCCAGTGACGCCTGGCCAGTGCCCTGTACCTCTGCCCCCCGGGTTCACCTCTCCTGGTCTGCGCTCAGGAAAGTGAATTCAAGTAAAGCCACAGCTGGGTTCAGTGGTGCTGGGGGGGCCTCTCCCCACCCCACCCCCCACCCCAGGCCCCTCTTCCTTGGATTCACCACAAAAAGAGTGTATAAGAAACAAAGAGCTAGCTAGGCAGACTCTCACCCCTTTGTTAGTTTCCTTTTTCTAAATAAACCAGATGCTTGGTGGAGTCGTTGAGCCAGGGAGGGGACAGCAGAGTGTGAGGAGCAGGCCAGGGGCCCGGGCCGTCCATCCGTCTGTCCGAGGCCTGCCAGTGATGCATGGGGAGGGGTGGGCGGGTGCAGAGAGAGAAGGTGAGCTTTGCCCTCCCACAGGGATGAGCCCAGCCTTGCACACCAGCCTTGCACACCAGCAGTCAGCCGTGGGCCCAGGGCCCCAGCACACACGGAAGGGGCAGCTGTCAGGACTTCCAGAAGCTTCTCGTCCCCTCAGCACGCTGCCCTACAGCTCTCCTGGCCTCAGCTTTCTCGCCGCCCCGCCACCTCTCTCAGGCCCGGTCCAGCAGCCCCGACTCTGAGCACAGTCTGCAAAGGGATCAGAGAACCCCACAATCTGGAGCCGACCAACCGTCGGCCACGCAGAGCCTCCCTCATGGCTTCCTTCTCCTCCTTCTCAACACCGGCTTTGCTGGCCCTGGAATCTCTGGAAAAATAAACTCAGGAGGTGAAAAGTTGACTTGGTTTCTTGGTGTTTTTGTTTTCTGGCAGGCAGTGCGGGGAGGGGCGGACGGGGAGTTTGGTGCCGTTTTTTTTTTTTCTTTCCTTTCCCCCTTCCGACGTCAAACAAATGAGGAAAATCCTGCTATAGGAGCCCGGGAGCCGGGGGTGAGGCTGCTGGGGGGGCGGTAGAGGGTGCTCTGCTGACTCGGGGGGTTCGGGGGGTTCTGGGGCGTTGGGGTCCGACTGGCCTTGGGCCGGAAGAGGCTGCCCTGCTGGGCGCTGTTGCTGTTGGCCACGGTGTTGGGGTCCGGCTCGCCCGAGTCGCTCTCCGTGTAGCTGTAGGCCTGCGCCCGCGAGATCCCCTTCTGCTGCCGCCGCCATGAGTTATAGTATGTGGGGTCGCTGATGTAGTGGTTGACAAAAGAGTGGGCCTTCTGGTGGGTCGGGTCGGCCTCGTACTCACTGTCGCTTCCCTGGGAGGACAGAGAATCGGGGAGTCAGGGGCCCTGAGGGGCCAGCTCAGCGTGCTCAGGGCCGGAAGGCAGCAGGTGCCCCGGTCTGAATCTCCCAAGCCCTGGATGGGGGGCCACCGCCGTCCCCTCACCGCCAAGGGGGCCCGATGCAAAGTTGGGCCCACCTCCCCTGCCTTTGGAGCGGATCGTGGGGCCGAAGGGTGTACCGTGGGGCTGGCACACGGCCTGCAGGCACCTGACGTGAATCTGAACTCGGAAGACCTGAGTTCTAATTCTTTTTTTTTTTTTTTTCAATTGAGGGGAAATTCATAGAACATAAAGTTAACCGTTTTAAAGCGTAAGGTTCCATGGCTTTTAGTCCATTCACAGTGTTGTGCAGCCATTGTTCTGTGTGGTTCCAGAACAGTTTCATCAGCCTCTGCCCTCATTCCCCGTTCCTTCCCCGCCCCCACTCCGGGTGACCACTGACCCGCTTTCTATTTCTGGGGATCTACCTACTCTGGGCATTTCATACAGATGGGATCGTACAGTATGTGGCTCGTGGGCCTGGCTTCTTTCACTTAGCGTAATGTTTTCGAGATTGAATTCATCCTGCCTTTTCATTTGCTATATTTCTGATGCTCTGGCACCTGAGGCCTTGCTGACTCTGGAGAGGAAATGGGCTCCCGGGGCTGGTCGGTCCCTGCAGCTAGAGAGCGATGCCTTTTCCTATCACGCTGACTCACTCTCCCCTGCCCCTCGTCACCCCAGGGCCGGGTACCAGACAACCAAGGGACAGCCCCTCTACCCCAAAGCCCACTGAATTTAGTCAAACAAACCCAAGCCTGCTCCCACAATGAAGGCTCCTGCCCACATGTCCCTCCTGTTCCCTCTGATTCCTGGGGACCCTGGTGCCTCCCCAAAATGGCCCTGCATGGTGTGATATGTCCCCTCTACTTGGCAACTGTGAATAATTCGATTTTTCAAGGGCGGTCATCTCCTGATCCGTTCGTGCATGATATACTGAGTTCCAACCTTGGTCTACCTCTGACTTACGGTGTGACTGGGGACCGAGCCAGGGCCAGACCTGCAGAGGCTCCTGGCTCCGAAGAGAGATGCTGGTGCCCACCCATGTGTGATCCAGGATAAAAGCAACCCTCAGTTATAAAACGAGCATGCGAAAAATATCAACAGAAGGTCCGAATTTCACACGATGACTGCCCTGTGGCTTTTTCTCCTAAATGCAAAACATTAAATTATTCCTAAAATTGTCACTACTTCCATGTCCCACCATGGCTTCATCTGCCTATGGGGGAATCAGCAGGAGACAAGAGTCAGGCTGGGTTGTGAAGTAAAACAGCATTCGCTCGTTGGTTCGGATCTGAATCGTGGAGCTAAAAATATCGAGCGCCCCTCCCCCACGCCCGGCTCCCAGCACTGTTTTGAGAACCAAGAAGAGGACAGATGGGAACACCCTTAGAATGCTCTGGAAGAGACATGCTCTGATTTGAGTGAACAGTACACTCTCAGGGAAATGCAGCTCCAAAGGCCTCAGTCAGGTTACCACGTCCCGGCCCGAATACACGGAGACAGTAAATGTGATCAACCTACTTCGGATAAAAACAGCAGCAAGAAAGCCCAGTGAGCCCAAAGCGAACGCGTTGTGTGTCCTTCTTGACAGGTAGAGCAGACGGAGAGTTGCTGACCTTGCTGCAAGGTGTCTGAGCCACGGGGAGTGCAAGGTGCACCTGCCCTCAGGAGCCCGAAGGCCCGTAGGGCGTCGAGCCCCTCTCGGGAAAGAGCTACAAGTACAGAACTGTGGCAATGTCAGGCCGGGGAGCAGGCACTCTGCCAGGCGGCAGGAACCTGGGGTCAACTTTCACACCTCGGGGTGGTGGCTGTTACCACTCCGCGAGTACGGAGAACCCCAGTTCTCTCTACTGTGCAGAGAGGGTGAGGGTTCGCCCCGAGACACACAGAACCGAGGGACTCGGATCTGCAGGATGTTCCAAAGCCCACACGTGCTCTGAACAAACCCCCTCCTGTCTGGAGACGGGAACGAGAGCCCTTCTGCCCTCCCAGCAGGGATTGCGTACTCCCTCCCGGATCTGCAAATTCCTGTTGTCTGGCCCCTCCCCTCCTCCACCTCACCCCTCCACAGTCCTGGCTGCTCTCCTTACCACCACCCTGCACACCCTCCCAGGACCTCAGTCCTCTTGGCAGCGGAACTGGCTGCCAGAGACAATGGAAAGTCCCTCGCTCGTCCCATGACGCAGAACAGCACAATGCGAGCCCCTTTCCTTGCCTACTGCCCAGCTGCTGGCCCAGGAGGGAACAAAGGGGCCGTACAGACAGGGGCTCCATATGCCAAACGTGGGGAGGGGGCTGAGGGCTGGGCACCTGAGGCCTGGGGCTTCGAGGTGGCGGCCCAGAGGCAGGAGAAGTCTGAGCAGGCTGTGGTAGATGCCATGAGGCAGGGGGCCGGAGAGGGGAGGTCCTGGTCCAGGAGCAGCAAGGGTCTGTAAGTGCGGGACATGGGAGAGGGCCACCTCACAGTTCTGCCTATGGGTCAGGTCTTTCCAGAAGGGCCTCCACCAGCTGGCCTGAATAGCTGCTAGCATCCTTGTTAGAGGTTCTAGAACTCTGGCTAGCCCCGCAGGGGAGTCCCCATCACTGCAGCCCCAACTAGGAGGTGACTGTGGTGTGGCCAAGTTCTGACTCTGTCCCTTGCTAGCTAGGTTAAGTTTGGACCCATCACCTGGCCTCTCCCAGCCTCAGTATCCTTGTCTGTAAAATGGGTAGATACCTGCAATTCACAGGGTGAAAAAGGCTTGGAAGCTGCCCCCCCAGGAGGGATCAGAAGGAGCTGGGGTCACAGAGGGTGACTCAGTGCTCGGGCGGCCGGGAAAGGGGAAGGATGTTCAGCTTCTGCCCTCCCCTCCAAAAGTAAAGCATCACTAGAGTGGCGATGGGCCTCTCTGGCCCTCCCGGGGGCCCCAACCCCAAAGCCCATTCATGCACATCATCATGGTCTGACGGCTACCAACTGCTGAGCACCTACTGTGTGTGGGACACTGTGGGGCGGCCTTCCTGATGCGCACGGAAAAGCAGAGGAAGCCAGAGTTGCGTGGGGGGGGGGGAGGGGGGGGAGGAGCAGGGGCTTAGAGATGGGCCTGCCCCACCCCCAGCTCTCCAAAGCCTGTGGGAGAGGGGGGTGCTTTGCCTCAGCGACTGCTCTTCTGCCGCCACCTCCTCCAACATCTGTTTCTTTTCTGCATGGGGGTGGGGTGAGAAGGGGAGAAAGCAGGCAAGGGGGGACCCACGGCGCCCATTCCGGCTTTCAACTCTCACGCGGGCCTCGGTAATTGAATGCAGCTTCCCAGTAACCGACCCAGCACAAAGGAGACCTTTCACGGGGCAGTCCCACCAGGCCGCCAGGCAATCAGGGGACTGCTCCAGCTCTGGGCCTCTTAACAGCTCCTCAAAGCCACTCACTCAGCAATTACCAGGCTTGGGGAGGGGCGCGGGGAGGGGGCCAGTGGGAGGGGGGACCCCGACAAGAGCCCGCAACAAAAGAGGGGGGGCAAAGGAGAGCCTCTTGTTCTCCTGCTGCTGCCAGCATGGGGTGGGGTGGGGTGGGGATCCTGCACCAGACTCAGGAGGCGATGGGCGTGGGACCCGGGGCCCAGGCAGGGTGCCCTCATCTTGTTGAGGCTCCTGAGGTCTGGCAGGAATGTGTTGCCCCGGTTGACAGGAGGTCCCCTGTACCCGCTCCTTTGGAGGCTGGAAGCTGGAGCCCCTCCCTCACCTATGGCCCAGGGGCTCTCCGCGGGGGTCTAGGCAGAGAGGCCAGCCCTGCATCAGTCCCTGGACACCGTTGCCCTCGAGCCAGTGGGCCTCTCCTGGGCATTAGAGGTGGGGGTGAGGATGTGCTGATTCTCCCTCCCTGGAAGCCCCCTTTACGCACAATTTTGTTAGGGATCTGGGCTTCTTGTACTAAAACAGCTAGAAATCTTCTCCCAGGAATGTCCTTTTAAAAATGTCAGCTCAGGGGCGCCTGGCTGGCTGAGTCAGTTGAGCGTCTGCCTTCGGCTCAGGTCATGATCCTGGGGTCCTGGGATCGAGCCCCGTGTCGGGCTCAGCGGGAAGTCTGCTTCTCTTTCTCCCTCTGCTCCCCCTTCTTGCTCTCTCTCTCAAATAAATAAATAAATCTTTAAAAAGTGTCAGCTCAGACACAAGGTCACCTGTGCCCCTGACAGGTGAAGTGACAGTCAACATGTCCCCCACCCACCCCGCTGTCAGACATGCTTGCATTTGGGGGCCTCATGGGAGGTCACCAGGATGGGAGGTGTTGGGGTCAGTGAAGACCTCTCTCTCCTTCCATCTCCCTTCTGTGCCAGGCATCTGGGCAAGGCCAGGCTGTCGGAGCCGGCCGGACCCAGATTTGAATCCCCACTGCCTGCACTTCTGAGCCCTGTGATCAGGGGCACAGTGCTGGACTTCTCTGAGCCTCAGTTTCCCCCAACTGTTAACCGGGCGTCCTGCAACTTGCATGATGGGACGGTTAGATTTTAAATGAGAACGTGGACAGTGCAGGGCCCAACAGGTAGCTTTGCCTCCTTCCTCCCGGACTCCCTCTGCCCTGCCCGGAGTGTATTTCTAGTTTGGCACAAGCTCGGGCTTCCTCGGCCTGTATGGGTCAGCCTAAGGAGGAGCAGGAGACAGGCCTCAGTGAATCTCTTAGACTCATGGCCCAACTCAATGGACAAGAGGCAAACACGAACAAAAAACCAGACACTCGGAGGGGATGACAGAACCACTCAGCCAAACACAAACCTATAAACCCTTACCACTCCCTTCTATGCATGACCCAGTCCTGTTCACACTTGGAGGCCCAGCTGAAATGCCACCTCCTCCAGGCAGCCCCCCGGGACCTTCCCCCAAGATTCCTCACAGGGCTTTCTATCCATGTGCCATGAGAAACAGGAAGCCTTCTGCTCCCCATTTTTCTCCTAAAGTTAGATACTGTGGTGCCATAAAATTTTAATGAGAGATGAAAACACGGGGTTATTTGAAACATGTGGTCTTCCCTAATGGGTCCTAACATACCATAATGCAACATTCATTAAGAGCTGGTCTTGCTCACTACTGGGGCTGCCATGTGTAAGCCATGCTCGGTTCTGTTTAGCGGGTGCAGAAAAAATAGTTGTTGAATAAATGCACCGAGAAAGGAATGAACAGGTTCCAGGGAGGACAAAACCAGCCAGGTGCTGCCCAGGACCCGATCCGAGCATGACATACAGTAGGGGTACAGGGCGCTAAGGTGGGTGGGCCTGGCCTCGTCGTCGTCGGAGGCTCCCTGACTCCTGCAACAGAAGCCTGACTCAGGCTTCCCAGAGCGCTCTGAGGGCCAAGCCGTAATATTCTTGAACAATCCTTAGGGTCATTCCTGGCCGCCCATAAGGGCTCATAAATGTTCACCCTTATGACGGGGTGCTCAAGAAAGCCTAATTTGTCCGGTGTATTTTCTTACTTTTCCACATAGGCTTAATTTCATTACAATGAGCTTCCCAGGGCTTCCCAGGAAATCACAAAGACTGAATACTTATTCGTAGAGACGTGCCATTGGCTGGGAATTCCTTTTCCATTGAGATTTGCTTGTGCACTATGTAATTTTTCTCCCATACTTGGGCTCTTACTTTGAAAATGACCTTGGAATGCAGCCATACTTCGTTTTCAAAAGTTGCATCAAACAAGCCCTGGGCTCTTCAAACCTCAGCCTTTGTGTGTCCCCTGCCTGGAACCTCCTTCACCAGCACCCCCTCTGGGGACCGCCCGCCCCCCCCCCCCAGTCTTCCCACAGCCCCGTTATGGCCTTGCTCACATCTTATCATGTGTGTTTGTTTATAAGCAACGTGGACTCTTGTTTATTACCATATCACAGGAAAAGGGCTGGGCAGATTTCTGCCAATTTTGGAGAGTCCGTTTTGGGTGGTCTGACTTGGAATAGAAACCAGGCAGCCCATGCAGAATTCGCTCTCAGAGGACCTAGGGGGAGGGGCACTTCCACAAAGTCAGGCCATCATTCTCCAGAGCCGCTGAAAAGCTGGGGACCCCGCCTGCGTGGCTGCTGACCCCCAGGGATATGCCGCTGCAGACGCCATCCCGGGCGGGGGGCTTGCGGGGCATCCGCCATGAGCCCCAAACGCAGGCTGCGATGGCGGATGCTCTCCACGCCAGAGGCTGGCATGTCGCTCTGCTGCCTCCCACGGGGGCCAGTGAGGAGTAATAGGATCTGCTTCTTTATGTCTTCAACAAGGGCATCCGAGGGAGACCAGCTGCTCTGTCTCCAAGTCTGTCCCCTCCAGCCCACCAGGAGCTCCTTGGAGGCAGGGTCATGTGTCCGTCACCGCTGTGTCCCTACAGAGTCCACGCTCAAGGAACGAGTGTTGAGTGACCCCTGAGCCGTGCACCTCTGAAGGTGCCAATGCTCCGGCAATGGCCTCCTGGGTCCCAGACCTCCTGCAGTGGCCCCAAAGCCACCTGCCTGGCTTTCAGGAACCAGTCCAAAGCGAACAGACCCAAACGATCCTGCCTGCCTTGTCCCGGGGCCCCGTGACGAGCCTGGCACCGCACGGGCCCGACTCCATCCCCCGCCACGGACTCTGAGAACAGCCGCTTGGACCGGGTGCCACGGTGCTGAGCGGGGGTGGGGGGGTGGGCTGCGAAGGACCCCTCCCCGTCCCGCAGTCAGGGAGGGGAGGGGCCGGGATTCAAGCCCAGCGCCGGACCCAGCCACAACTACGCGCCGCCACTTTTCAAACGAGTGTCTCCCTGCTCAGAGCCACCCTCTGACGGGGCCGGCTGATCACCTGAGTGACCCGCTGGGCAAAGCTCCTAGGGCACCCTTCTTGGGGACGACCTTAATGCCTACGGCACTTTGCTCTGAGCGTGCGTCTTCATCCTTTGAAGACGAGCTTGGGTTTTGTTTTTTTTGTTTTTCTTTCAAGAAAACCCACAGTCACTTGTTCTCGAGAGTGTCTCACTGGCTGGTTCTGAAGGCCTTTCCAGAAAGGTCTGCTGTGAGGGTGGCATCACGGGCTTTGGGACAGGGGAGGGCAAGGAGCCCAGCTGGGCTCTGGGTCGGAAGGGCCCGTGGGCAGGGTCTGCATGCTGCACTTCTTGGCTCTAGGGCCTGAGCCAACTCGGTAAAGCTCTTTGAGCCTCAGTTCCCCATCTGTACAAAAGAGAGGACACTAAGGGCACTCGGAGGGTCACTGTGATTATAAAGTGGCAAGGCACGTGGGAAGGTGAGTGCAGCCCCCAGGGCGTGACCATGGCCATCGGAGTTACTGTGAAGGGCCACGCCTCTCCGAAAGTGTGTGTTCTGACCTTGGTCCAAAAGGAATGGCTTGACAACCCTGAACATTTGTTTGTCTCTCCTGCTAACCTGCTTGGTCTTGACTAGCTTGACCAGCTCCTCCCATGACCGACCCTTCCGTGCTTTAACGACAGCGTACAGAATGCCACGCACCACGGGCCAAGACGGACACTGGGGAGGTGACTGACCTCAGGACTGTCACAAGACAGGACTGTCTTCATGGAACTTAGCTTAAAATAAATAAACCCACCCGAGCTCCAAATCAAACCTCAAACCATCCCCAAGCCCGCAGGTGGGGCTCTAGGCCTGGGCTGGGCTCCCCCGCGCCCCCTGAAAGGGAACGTGGGAGTTCTGCTGTGACAACTGGCTTCTGGAACCAGGAGGCCTCCCCTCCCCAGGGCATGTGTTCCCCGTAGGTGCCTGGTTCCAGATTGCTATGGAAACGGCATTCAAGTGATGGGCTTGTTTTGGACAAAAGACACTAGGGGCAAAGCGGGGGATTCCAGGGACTCTGTCCGCCTTGGTGGTGACTGAAATAGGATGGTCTCAGGATGAGCATTCTTCTCTCAGTGCTTTCTCAAGGCTGGGGTCCTGGCCCGGTCTCAGGGACCAGCTCTGCGTCCTGCAGGAGGTTCCCCCTGACTTATGTGGAGATGGCCGCGGGCCATCTGAGGACACCCGGGCAGGATCTCCTGCACTCAGAGGGCTCCGTCCCCGGAAGGTCAGTGCCCAGCCAATGAGTGTGCAGGAGTAAGGCCCTCTGTGGAAGGTTGAAGGGGGCTGATCGGAGCCGCACGGGGAGTCCCTTCTGCTGGCCACTGCTTCTGCTCTCCCTAGACGGCAGCGTGGCTTAAGGAGCCCCTTGTCATAGCCTCACGAGCACAGGGAGTCCCTTTACTTTCTTTGAACTTTCCCTTGAGTTCCTCGAACCTAAAGGCTCATTGCCCTCTTTGGGGAGAAAGAAAGAAAAATCATGTTTCAGTGAAGCATGGCCTTGGAAGTCCCAGTACGTATACGGCTGCGAAGAGTTAAGTACTTAAAACAGGAAGCCATAACCTGAGTCATGTGAGTTCCTGTGTTAGCCAGGCTAAGTTGGGGTCTCTGTCCCTGCCAGGTCTGTCTGAGCTGGGGTGTTGCTAGCTCCAGGCTTGCAGGCTCTGCCAAGCCCATCAGTAACCCTGGAGCTGAACAAAACAGTAGTGAGCCAGAGGCCCGGGCTCCACCGGGCCCACGACCAGATCCCGGCATTCTGGCACCTCCTACCCAGCTGACAGCCTCCCTGCTGGCATCCCTTGGCTCTTGTCCTCTCCCCACACTGGGCAGAAAGGTCTAGGGCGTGGGACGCAGTGGCCTTTCTTGGCCCCTTCCTGGGCACCAACCACCAGGCTTGGCCAAGGCCAGGAGGGCTGGGTGGGAGGCCATGACGTTACTTCATTGGAATGCGCTCAACCCCCTCTCCCCATCGTCTGGGACAGTGTCCCCGTGTGGCCCACCTAATGGCAGCCTCTCTAAAGCTCTGTGTCTCCCAGAGGCACCATCTCCTTCTTCACATAAAGGCTGACATTTATCGGATAGTTGCTGTGTGTGCTTGCTAAGCTTCTCTGTGCCTCATCTCAGCAATCCCACTGCCCCATGACAGAGCCTCTTACTGTCCCTGCCTCTTCTGCAGATGGACAAACAGGCTCAAAGAGGTTGCCTACCCCACCCAGGATGCCCTGGCCTACAGGCAGCAGAGCCGGGATTCAAACTCAGGCCGGAGGCTCCAAAGCTTAAGGCCTCGCTCGTCTGTACTACTCCCCCCATCCTTGGGGCTCCAGGACTCACAGCTCCCAGTTTCTGGAGCTCACTCTGACCCGAACTAGCTAAGCTCAGCCGTGGCAATGCAGGCCTCCTTCTCCTCACCTTCACGAGCTCCTCTGCAGGCCAGGGCATGTGGGGAGACTCCGGACACTCTAGAGGACTGAGCTGTTGGGGGCTCTTCTCTGGTCAAGGTTACAGGGCCCCCATGAGCCCTGAAGCAAACTCTGAGCCGAGCTTAGGAGGGCACGGCGGGTCCACATATGACTCCCGGCTAGTTTCCTGGGCCTGATAAAGGCCAGGAGGCAAGGAAGCCCAGGTGATGGGCCAGCACTCAGGCCTGCACTCTGGCAAGGGGCTGCTCCGGTCCCCACTCCAGGACGCTTGGCCCTCCCGCCCCTCACCTGAGAGTCGGAGATTTCTGAGGGCTTCTCGGTCAGGCTGCTGCTCTCTGCCGGGATGAGGTCGTTATACTTGGTGACATCCTCGTCGGAGTAGTGGAGGCTGCCTGGGCTGGGCCGGGGAGGCGACCTAGAGGGAGTGGGGGTGAGGCTGAGTGGTGGCCTCCCCCACAGCGGCCGGCCTGACTGGGGAGGCCCCCTTCCAGCGGGGCCTGGAAGGGCACCGACCCTCGGTGCCTCCGTTCTACAGCCCTCCTCTCTGTCTGGTCCCCACAGGCCTGGGCCTTGAGCAGCGGAGCCTTGGGCTGGGGGCCCCTCAGGGGTGGGAGAGGCTCAGCTGGACCAACCTCCTGAATCAGCTTCAGGGAAATGGGGGGCAGCACTCCACTGCCCACTGGATTCTCCACTCGTGGTTTCAAGGCCGCAGGCACCGGGATCACTTGGCCGGGAATGTTGCAAAGCCCCTTTGAGCCCCCCTGAGACCTCCTGAGTCAGAATCACAGGGGACACCTGCATACCTGCACTGTCATTCTTGACAAAACCCCCACGTCATTCTTGAACTCACCAAGGGAGCTTCAGAGGGTTAACACAAAGGGTTAAGTGAAAAAGGCAAACCACTGCCTCCTCCCTCCAGATCTGCTCAGAGACCAGAAACGAATCTGGCGCGGAGTCCTGCCCTACCTTTGAAAATTAGCCTTGGAGAAAGCACATTTCCCACTGAGTTAGACACCCGCTCTGTGTTACCTGCACAAACACGCAGGACAGGGCGCCTCAGCCCTCCACCTGCCAGGGGCGTGCGCAGGCTGGAGGCAAGGGTCGTGCATTCTTGGAACCACCTGAGCTGAGGCTGAGGAGAGCGGGCTGGGCAGGCTCCTGGGGGCACCGAGCAGGTGCCTGGGGTCTTTCATGACCCTGCCTGGTTCCTGCTTCCTCGGGACCGGGCTCAAGGAGGGCTCTGCCCAGGCAGTGCAGGCGCCCCGAGGTCTGCCCAGCCTGCTCTAGGAAGAGGCTCTGGGACCGCGGCTCTGAACGCCAGCTGGCCCCACTCGGGGCCGGCAGCGCTTTGCTACAGAAATGCCGTTCTGGGAACAATCCCACGGCCTGGGAGTATGTCACCAGCAACCTCCCTGCCACCTCCAACCTCTTGGGACTATATTCTGCACTGATTTGATTCCAAATAACAAAGCTGCATCCTTAACTACTTAAAAATAAAACCATAACAATAGTGGCAGTAGCCTCGTGTAGACAAGATGGGCAAAAACGTGACGCCAGGAGCAGGGAGGAAACGGGGTGTCAGGCTCAGGCCGTCTTGGCCACAAGCAGGGTGAGTGGGGGGCTGAGGGTGTCACCAGGGCTGGGTCAGACTCCCGGAGCCTGGGGCTGGTTTGTCGCAAACAGGATTTCTGTGTGTACACAGCAGGGTGCGGGACACGCGGGGGGCCGCCGTGTGTGTACTCTGGGGGCGTGAGAGGCAGGCGAGGCCGGGCCATCCGTGAAGCGCCCCCTTGTTCCATGTGGCAGGGCCCCGGAGCCAGCCCGGCGGGGCTGCGGCGGACCTGCTGGGCCCACCACCTCGGCCTCAAATGGCTCTTTCTTTGGAAAGCTAGCTTTGGCGGGGGATGAGAGGGGGGCCTGCTGGCCTGCGTGCCCCTCCCTCCGTCCTCCTGACGAACACACACATCGCCTCTTCCCTCCAGGACGAGACAGAGAGAAGCTTTGTGAGCTGTGCCTGGCCACCGTGCCCCTCCGATGAACTGGGAATGTTAATAGGGCTGAGGCCAAACAGACAGGCGCTCCCGGGCTGCAAGCCCTCCCGAGCTCTCCTGAGCTCCCCAGAGCATAAAACTGCCAGGTCACATCAGGGGAGGGTCAGGTGGGCCCCAGCAGCTGCCCTTGCCCTTGGAAATGGGCAGCCCAGCCCGCCCCAGGGAGCGGGGCGGGGTGTGTGTGTGGGGGGGGAACCTAGGGTTGGAGAGAAGTCAGGAAGAAATAGGAGTCGCAGGCACCACCAGCCAGGACCTTTCCTGGTTGGCTGTTCTCAGATGTTGCCCTTTGAGGACAACGCTGGAAGCACAGACTTGTGGGGTGAGTAGGAGAAAACTGCCCTATAAGAGGTGTGCTTAAGGACCCAGGGGGGAGGGTGTCCACACTCTGAGTGCCCTTTCTTTCCAGAATGGGGAGGAGACAGGTTAAGGCATAATCCATGATGGGGGGGGGGGGCTCCTGGCACCTGTCACTCAAGTGTGTCGGCCTCGCCTACCTTGGCCGGCCCCCCCACTGTTGCGGCGGGCGGCGCTCCATGCTTCAGGCCTGCCCCTCCAAGCGGCTAGCTCCCAACAGTAGTAGGCTGGGTCGCAAAATTGTACAAGGTCTTTGCATTTGGCTGCCATTGGCAGAAGCCCTGTGTCCTCACCTCCTCGTGACTTTCCAGCCTGGTTGTGCTGCTTGGGCCCTGCTGACTGTCCCCAGCCCCTGAGCCCGAATGCCATCGCTGGGACACTGAGACCAGGGGGGCACTGGTTCTGTGGCCTTTGCCAGGAGTCCTCCACAGCCCGGGCACTGCTGGCCCCCAAGCCTCCATCCTCTGCTCCCCCGCCCGTGCAGAGAGCTCTCTACCTGGTATACAGGCCGTTCTTCCGGCAGAAGGAATTCTTGACGGAGAGCCTCCGGTTGTTGAGTTCCAGAGCAGGGAAACTGCTTTCATCCAAGCTCATCATCTCCCCGTGGCCAAGGGCACCAGACTTGGCATTGTTCCCTGGGTTGGGGCAGGGGGTGGGGGACGCGGAGACAGGATCCAGTCACTCATGCCAACCCTTTAGACCTCTGGCCTCCCCTCCCACCCTGGCCGAGCTGCTCTCTTTCTCCTCTTACAGGTTGAGACCAAACAGGAGATGGAGGTTGTATGCTGGGACCCCGGGCTGCCCCGCCTAGCAGAGCAGGTGCCTTCCTAGGAGAGAGAGGGAAGCCCCGACCCCCACCTTGCCGAAAGGGAGGCAGACCCGTCTAGCTGGTTGGGCTTGGGGCCAGCTCACCAGAGTCTGTCTTCTTGGCATATTTCTTGCTCTGGCCTCGGATGATGAGCACAAAGACCAGAAGGAGGATGAAGATGAGGCCGACGAGGGCAATGACCACCAAGAACCACCACTCCTCGTAGAAAGGGTTGGCTTTCTGGGCTGGAACAGGAGTGGGGGTGTCAGGTCCAGGCTGCTCAGCCGCCTCCTGCCTCCACACCTCCCACTCTAGCTGGGACCCTACCACAGACCCCAGGCAAGGTCTGGGCCATCTCAACGAGGTAGAGCCTAAGACAAGGTTGGCAGGGACAGTTTACTCTCAAGCGCCGGCTCTCATCCTTCGGTAAAGGGATGCCTGGAGGGCTGCCTGGAGTTCTGAGGTTGCTTCTGGACTCACCAGGAAAGAGTGCAGGGATTGATTAGTGATGTCTGCCAAAGACACAGGACGGAGAAGCCGCAGTGTGCGTGCTATTTTTCCTCCCTCCCGCCCCTTCTTGCCACCCATGGCCGAGGGGCTACCTTGACAGGCAGGCCCCAGATTTGTATTGGAAAAGTACCCGTCGGGCCCATGGTAGGTCTGGGAGAATTTCTCCCCAGGGATAGGATTCAATCTTTCTCCGGTAGCTGAGAGCGAGGGGAGCCAGGAGGGTGGACGTGAGTGGTTCTTTAGAATGCTTCCTCCAGCCAGGCCTCTCCTTCCTTCAAAGCCCTCAGTACCATGCTTTTTGCACGTAACCACTACTAATCCAGGGGGCTACCTGACGAGGGGCTGGCTCTTCTCTCTCTCATGATGTGGTTCGATCAACTGGGACAAGGGAGAATATGTGTAGGAGGAGGGAGGCAGCCAGGTTTCCAAGACTCACCCAGTGGGTTACAATTCTGAGCTATGTTTCTGTCTTGAGGGGAGGGGCACTGGTATTAAAAGTTGATTAGTGATTGGATTTGGGGTCATGGGTTTTGGCATTAGAGTCCTCTGTGAGTCCTCCAAGACATGCTGGATGGGAAGGATGAGAGGAAAAAGGGGAGGGATGGCAGTCCTATCCCCTCCAGCCCCGGACACTGCTTCATAGGCCACTGACTCTGTTTTTTGGGGCGGTTTCCATAGAAACATGTAGTTTATGGCCTGGGTGAATCTCTTGGGTGATGAGCTCACAGAACTGCTCACCTTGGGCCCACTGATTTGTCCACAAGCAAGCCCCACTAAGCCCCCCGTCCAGGGTTTCTGGAATCCTTGCAAAGGAACCCCAAAGATGGACCGCCCCCAGCTTCTTCTGGAGCTCAAAGCTGACCCAGGCCCTGGCCCAGAGTTCACTGCCTGGAGAACTGAGAGGACAATACATTTTGGTCCCCACCCCAATGCATCTGCTGCCCTGCTGTCTGCCTCGGTCTTCCTTGCCTGCCACCAGCCTCTGCCACAGGGTCTTCCATGGGGTGCCCCCCCCCCACTGGCGGTACCTGGCACAGACTGGGAGGGGCTGCTGGGGGTACCGAAGCCATAGTCATTGACGGCGATGACCCGGAAGTCATAGCTCACGCCTGGCTTCAGGATGTCCATGCTGAACGTGTAGGACGTCACCTCCTTGGGGATGTCTTTGATGAGGATGTCCCATAGCCCCTCGTCTGCAAGAGTGTCGAGAGGGAGACGCCCCATGAGGGGGGGCCCCCTCCCATCCCGCCCGTTACCCCCTGAGAGCAGAGCCTATCTGGTCTGCCCTGTCAATCCTGAATCTCAGCAGAGAGTTTTCGAAAGATCCTTTTTGGAGTCTCTGACCCTTTGTTCCCTTTATTAAAATGCCTGTAAAATATTAAAAAACCCTGTAGTTTGCAGAAAGTACAGTACCAACCAACCCCACGCCACCACCCGCAGGAGGAGACTCAGCATTTTGGCAGCCATGTAGAAGTAGGCAAGTCACCTGTTTTCACATCCTTAAAAAGTGCTGGTCGACGTGACTTCCCCAGGCTTCCTATGATTGTAGCACACGGGTATACCCTCCTTTCCTTAACTGGGCCCCTCTTTTTCTCATCCCCCTTCCTATTCAAAATATACACGGTGGCGGCATCAGATAAAAAGAAGATTCTTTTTTTAAATAGCTGCAGGAGGGGCTGGGCTCGCCTGTGAGTGCGTGGACCTACGGGGCCCATCCTCAGTGGTCTCCTTGCTGAGCAGCAGAGATCTGAGGAGAAAGAGCTCAGACAAGCCTAGAGGGGTCCCCCATCTGTTCTCCACCCACGTTGTCCCCAACCACCCCCACCCTTTGAGCTCCTGACTTTCCTTTCAGGCCTGCCCCTTTGTCCGCGGCTCTCCGGCTCTCTGGGTCTTGCCTCCTTGGGACCTAATTCATTTCTACCTCATTCAGAAGGAGCGGCGAGCATGCTGCCCCACGCAAGAGAAGTGCAAGCACCTGCAGGGCCCTGTGATGGGGAGGCTGGGTGGGGGCCCCGGCCAGAGGCTCCATGCAGGGCCAGCGGGGCTGGCATGGCCCTTGGGAAGACGGTGAGTCCCCCTGCCTGTGCTGGGGAAGGGCTGATTTGGCAACTAAAGCGTCAGGCCACCCTTTTCACATGGCCCAGGTGACCAGAGATCTTAGAAGGACCTCGGTGGGCTGGGCTCCTAGGTCCTCCATCCTGTGGATCTAGGAAGGTCACCTTGGGGCCCCAGACGAGCTCCTGCCTCAGCCTCAGCAAGGCACTATTCCTCCTCATCCGTTCCTGAGCTCCTTCTGGGAAGAGCCGCCTGCGGGTCCACGGGCTACCCCCTAACTCCAGCTTGGCCCTTCCAGCCTCTTCCAGGGGCTGATGGATTCGGTTTCCTTCACTACGCCTGTTACCGGCCCACTCACGTCAGGAACTCTAGCGGAGGCACCATCTCCCCCCTCGTCACCTCTGAACTGTGGACCAAGAGTGTGCCGGCACCTTCCGAGCGTTGTCCTACCCGTCCAGATCCCTCCAACTGGAAGGCAGCCGTGGGGCCCCGTCTATGTCCTGCTGTCCTCACAAAGGCTTGGGGTCCTGAGCTTGGCCTCAGCTTCCATCTCACGTCTTTGTTTTGGGCATCTGCCTCATGCACCCTGTGACTCTCCCCTGCTAGGCTGTGCCGTCTCTCCAGGGCGAGGACTGTGCCCGATTCACCTCTGCAGCCCAGCACCCGGCGCCCAGCACCCAGCCCAGGCGTCCTCTAAGTGCTGGTGGGATGGCCGAACGAAAACCTTCTTCCCCGACCTTCTCCGAACATCACGTGCTCCGATTTCAGCACTGCATGCCCCGAGATCCGAGTTTTGGGGTGCAAATCCATTCTCCTCCCATGCCCCTGCAAGCTCTCATTCCCTTTCAATGACAGTCACAGTGACGACAACAATCATGGTGACGACACTCCCTCGTTGAGCGCTGTGGTTCTAAGGGCTTTACTTTCCACACCCATGGCAGTGCCGGGGAAAAGGAAGAACCACTGTGCCCGTGTTACAGATCAGAGAGAGAGAGAGAACCTGTCCTCCCAGGCTCCAGCAGCCCTAAGTGGCGAGGTGGTGCTTCAGCCTAGAGCTGTCGGGCTCCCCCCAGCACCGAACGCCAGCTGGGTGTCCAGGATGGTGCCCTTCGAGATCCGCAGCGGATTCAGTGTTGGCTGGGCGGGCTCGTCCAGGACCCTGCTGCCTGGCAGAAGATGGGGCCTCCGGCCTGCTGTCTGACCCACCTTGCTCTGCCCTGTGCAGAAACAAACGGTGGGGCCCCGGCAACGGGGCCAGGCCCGAAGCTGCTGGAATGTCATGCTGGGGCTCTGGCCTCCAGCCCCAGGAGTGGGCTGATGCGCACGGCGGGTTCCACGGGGCCGGAAACCTAGAGTGAGCCCCTCCCCCTCCTTGCTCTGCGGGGGCCCGGCAGTTCCCGGTGTGTAGAAGGCGGGCAGGTTTGGCGATGCTATCCGGCAATGCCGGGGGGCGGGGGGAGGGGGCTGGCATGGGACAAGAGCAGTTTCATCTTGGAGATGAGGAGGATGTACAGCCCGGGGGCACAGAGGAGGGGAGATGTCTCCAGCAGCCCCAGGGAGAGGCTCGGCTTTCCCCTTGCCCTCCACTCACTCCATCCTCACAGCCTTCGATCTCTGTCACAGATCTCGGGCACTGCTCCCCATCCCGACCCTTTAGGGGGTCCTGCCTTGAATCCATCTGTGCGCACCAAGGCACAGCCCCAGGTCCCATGCTGGAAAATCAGCAGGCCCGGAGTCTGGAGCCAACATTCCACAGCCGGGCATGCCGGCCTGCCGACGTGGATGGAGAGCAGAGGCATGGGCCCTTGTGGGAAGAAGCACGGGGCGGTCTCCTGGCCAACTCAGCAGCCCGCACCGGAGGGCCGGGGAGGGACCATCTGGGGTGGGGGGGGAGCCAACCCCGCACACACCTTCCAGCTACACACTGGATGGGAGTTGCTAGATGAAATAGCTGTTCGCCGCTGCAATTATTAGCATAAGATGAGGGCAATGGGGGGGGGGGTGGCTGCTTCCTGGAACGGCCGGGCATTAACTCTTGGCTATTAAGATATTAGCGCTCATACCTGAGGTATTAAGCTTGCCTTCGGGATCCTTCGATGCTCTCATTAGAAGTATTAGCTACTGATATGCCTGACTACCTCCCATTCTGATTATTACTTGCTATTCGTGCTGTTTGCCTTTCTCCACTTCAGCCGGCTAATCACAGGACCGTGGGGTACCAAGAACAAGCCTCCAGCTCTCCGTGGGCTCTGGCGCCTCTGGTGAACTGGGAAACCTAGCTGGCCGGGAGAAGCGGGCGTCACGGCGACCGACGAGGATGAAGCGGGGAGCGCGGGGAGCAGCCCCCTGGAGCGACTCATCAGTCGCTGGTCTCCTGATGGCTCTGAAAGCTCTTGTGATTCGATTTCAGGCTTGACCACCCCCTGATACCGTTACCGGAACTGCTGAGATCATCAGGATGGCAGAGGCGGACCTCAAGGAGGCGGCCAGCATCCCCGGGGGACAGCCGGCCTCCCGACGGGGCACTGGTCAGGCGGGTTTCATGAAAGACTTGGTGGTTCATCGGGGTGGGGGGTGGGGGCAAACTTTGCTCCTCTGGTTTCTGGAATGATCTTCCATCCGAGTTGGTCCTCACCTGGTGCTAAGTGCCATTCTCCAGGGAACCCCGGGGTGTCCCCCACCTGAGGGTGCGACTCTCCATTTCCCACTCGCCCCAGGGCCCCCTCTAGCTTCACCTGGAGTGAAGCTTCACCTGGAGGTGCCTTCTCAGGAGGACACAAGGCCGCCAGGTGGAGGGACTCCAGCAGGAGAGCGCGAGACCCGGAACCCGCTCCAGAGGGAGGCACTCAGCCCGGGGCAGCGCGTACCTGATGGCCTGGCCTCTATTACGTAGCGGGTGATGGGCCCCTTGCCAGGGTCTCCGCTGGACCAGTGGATGGCGATAGCAGAGCTGTACCTCACGATGATGGGCACTCCAGGCGGCCCGGGGGCACCTGCAAAGCACATGGTGGGCAAGAGGAGGTACGGCCCCCCAGCCCAGCTCCCTGTGCTCCAGCAGGGGGGCTGGGCAGCCAAACAACAGCCCCCGCTCCGAGCCCGGCCAGAGTCTCCAAAAACCCTGCGAGCGCCAAGGCCCGAGGAGGGGGTTTTAGGCCGGGCCTGCTGATGCAACTGTGTTCTCTGGGTCACCTACACCCCCTTGTTCCAAATTCAAGGCCAGGAGAAGTATATAGGGTAATGCCAGGAAGATCCCTGGAGCAAAGTCAGGAGACCCGAACTCACTAGACGGGTGAATTTGATCAAGTCACATAGCCCGCCAGTACCTCGGTTTCCCCATCTGTGAGACCCTTTTGGAATGTAAGGCTTGAAGGGATGTGTCCTGGGGGGATGGTAGAGGTGGGTGTGATGATGGTGGAGTGGGCCTAGGGTAAGTGGGGGGTTGGTTTTTGGGGGGCTGCAGGGCTCCCTGACATCTTGTCTCCTGGCCTAGGATGGCAATGTCCTCCCTACTTGCTGCCTGAAATACGCCCACCCTCACTGGGCCAAGGAGGAGGCTGGGAGCACGGGAGGAGGGCGGAGTGGGCCCTGCCGCTGGCTGTCCTGGCGGGTCCGTCAGAGTGGCCGCCTGTCACGTCAGCCACCTGGACACCAGCCCCAGGAGCTGAAGCAGGGGAGAGCTCACTTGCGTAGCCCGAGGAGTGAGCCAGTTCTAGCTCTGGAGGGTCCCGAGCCCCGCCTCTCTGGGGGTGCCCGTCCCCTGGGCTCTGACCGTCCCCAGAGCCCTGACCCTGCGGTCCATCTCCTATATGCCTGCTCATCACTGGACCTGAAGCCTTGCACCTGCAGAGCTGGGCACTTGTGGGACGAGGGGAACAAGTCGGTGAGTGAGTGGGGGGGTGATCGCTGGGCCAAGTGAGCGCCGAGTGTCGGCTACGGACGCCTACGGCAAAGGGCCTGGAATCCAGCTCCAGACTGAAGATCCTCCAGGCCCAGGGCAGTTGGCAGGCTGGACAGCAGGCCGGGGACTCACGACCAGAGCTTGGCTGCCCACCGCCCGGCCCGTGTCCAGTCCCGACCCGTGACCTCAGAGAGCCTCATCTTCCTTCCTTCCTTCCTTCCCCAATGTACATCCTGCCTACAGCTCAGGGCAAAGGCGGCTGAGGGGTCAGGGGGTGTGGGACAGAGCCCAAGCGGGGTGTGAAGGGTGGGGGGGTGCTCTCAGGACCCCGAGTTCTCATTCCGCACAGGACAGAACTCAAGGCTGAGAGCTGTCATCAACTCCTGGACTAGAAGCTTCTAGCACTTCTAGCGACTGCCTGGTCTGGATGGAAGAGGATGCGTGATGGCACGTCCTTTCCTCGCCCACACTCACCGGGCACAGCTCAGCTCTGTTTCAGAGGGACCCCCACTGCCTCCTCCGAACTTCCTGCCTGCCCCCTTCCCACGCCCCGCCTGGGACACTTGAAGCCTCAGGTTAGAACAACCAGTCCTCCAGCCTTCTCCTGTCCCCAGTGCTCTGCCTCCCTTTGTCCCTGCCAGCTCGCTTCCTGCTTTTGTTTCCCAGGGAAGTTGGCTCAGGTGAAGAGGCGGCACAGGAGGGCTGGGGGCAGGTGCAGGGCAGGGGGGGGCGGCTTCCTCCGGCGGCCCTGCAGGCTCCGTTCTGCAGGAACCTAGAAACCAGCCGGCTTCTCTGCAGAACCCGGGGCGGAGAACAGAAAGTGCCCACAAAGAGAAAGTGCAGGGTGGCCAGCCCTGCCCAGCAGGGGAGAACACATCTGCCCACAGGTGAGAGGCAAGGACAGGCCCCCCGCTCATCTCCCACAGGCCTAGCTAAGCTGCACTTCGGCCCACAGGGCAGGGAGTAGGAGGAGGAGGAAGAGGAGGAGGAGGAGGAGGA